AGAGCCACAGCTCCCTGGTGCCTAGCATCATGCCTGGCACCAAAGGAACACTTGACCAATGTGTGTTGAGTGACTGGCTGTAGCCAGCACTCTGCTCTCCCTCCCCTGTCGGAAAGCACCACCCCTACCTCCTTCCCTGGCTCAGCAAAGTCCAGCCTGAGTGCTCTCTGCAGCATCAGGTAATGAGCTGGCAGAGTTGCGGCACCAGCGTTGCTGAACCAGCCTCTGAGGCTGCGTCTGACCTTGAGCCACCTTCCTTTCTGCTTGGCTAAGCACTAAGTCATTTACTTGTTTTCACTGCCTTTCAAGCCTGAAGCAGTGGGTTTAGCACAAAGGAAGGCATGAAGGTTATTTTGTTTGTGGGGTATTAATTTCTCTTACATCAGAATGGTGCAGGTAGTTTATGCCGTACAAAGGGATGGATGGTTACTGAAGTGAGGAACACGGCAGAGCTTCCAAGTCAGTGCCTAGATCTCTCTAACCTTTGAAGCATGCTTTTCCTACCAAACCGAAAAACCAAACCAAACTCACTGCCATAGAGTTGATTCCGACTCACAGCAACCCCCATTGGGTTTCCAAGACTGTAAATCTTTACAGAAGTAAATTGCCCCATTCTACCAATTATGGCTATATGATTTATTGCAGACTTCAGGAAAAAGAGCATGACCTGAAAGCCAGGAGACTGGGTGAGTCTCAGGTGATCTACTAATTGGCCATGTGGCCTTGGGTAAGTCACTCCACACGTTGTCACTTTACACGTACCCTCTCTGGGTATCTCTCCTTACTTGCAAAGTGTGGAGATGGCCTCAGTTGCCCTACATCATCAGATAGCACACATTCCACTGTGTGAGAGGGGGCAGGGAGACTGGTGCTGCTGCCAGGGACAGGACTGAAGGGGTACCAGATGAGCAGAGACCACCTCCTGGATCCATGACAGCTTCCTGAAACATGTGTCCCTAGAGCAGGGACGATGCCTGACCTCAGGCATGCCCCCAAATCACCCATTTCCGCCCACAAAGGGGTCTTGTGATGATTACAGATGTGCAGGGAAAGTGCTCAGCACAGGGCCTGGCACAGAATAGGAGCATGGCCAATCTCAGCTATTGTGATAATAAATATTGTTATTTATGGCTTAGATCCATACCTGATGAATGCTTTAAAAAAAAAAAAAAAACTACAGATTTAGAGATTGTAGGGACCCTAGAGACTTTTGCTAGAAGTAGAAGGGATCTGCCCCAGGTCCCACAGGCAGAAATGGGACCACAAGCCAGGTCTCTGGACTCCTCCATGGGGTGAGTCCGCATGTTACATACAGAGCCCCAAGGAGGGTGCTGGTTGAGGCAGATACCAATCCCAACAGCCTCAGCTTTGGGGACCTGATGTCCATCTGACTGATCCATCTGGCCCATAAATATTACCCAAGGGCCTCCCAGTGGAGGAATGTTGTCCACACAGCTGATGGAAAACTGATTTGCTCTTCTTTACTCAGAAGGTGCCTGAGGCATGAGTTGACCCAGGTCACTTCTGCTCTCTGGGCCTGTTTCCTAGTGGGACAAAATGGACTTAAAGAGCCATCTAGTTCCAACATTCCATGGTTTCAAGAACTGGGCTCAATTAATCACAAGTGGCTGGGAACCTCAGTTCACTGGAACCTTGCCCAGAAGTTCCTTCCTTGGGAGATGTAAGCAGAGGCCAAGCAATCATAGCATCTGCTGTCCTTGGATGGTCTTTCCCAGTTTATAAAGGGCTTGGATCTATTTAGCTTCACTGCCCACTCCCCTCCTCTCTGCATGGCACACAGGACACACAAGCCTAGCCCTACTTTACAGACAAGCAGACTGAGGCTCAGAGCAGCCAGAGATTTCCCCTAGGCCACATAAGCCACAGGGCCAGCCCAGAGCTCAGAAGGCAAACAGAAGATGAGCAACTAGCACAGTGGTGTGCACAGAGCGTGTGCCCCCTAACGACCACCCACATGAAACACAAGCCAAGATGAAGAGGCTTTGCCAAGAAAGGAGCCCTGACGGGAGCCTGGAGCCGGGATGGAGTCTGCACTCTCCTCTCACTGGCTGGGCCTGTTGCTTCGCAACAATTTTAAAGTGAGGTGACCAGAGAAAAGGCCCCACCCCTTCTGTGCCTGCACAGATCCTGGTCATCTCCCAGAGCACCCACATGGCACTGGGATTTGTCTATGGCCCATCCTCACCTCCAGAAGACGGGGTAACGCCTTTGTCATCAGGACTTCCTGAGCCCAACCCAGACCAACACAGAATAGGTTTTTGGAAATGTTTAAGGGAGGGATGGAGAGAAAAGGGAAAGGAAAGAGTGGAAGGAAGGGAGGAAGAAAGTTAGGTTGGCTGAAGATCCTTCCAACACTAACATTCTATGATTGCACAAAGCTAAGTTCTACTAGGCACCTATACTATGCAGATGACACAATTTTGTTTGCTGAAAGGGAAGAGAACTTGCAGTGCTCACTGATGAAGATCAAAGACTAGCAGTCTTCAGTATGGATTACCCCTTAACAAAAAGAAAACAAAAATCCTCACAATTGGACCATTAAGCAACATCATGATAAATGGAGAAAAGATTGAAATTGTCAAGGATTTCATTTTACTTGGAACCACAATCAACACCAATGGAAGAAGCAGTCAAGAGATCAAATGGTGTATTGTATCTGGCAAATCTGCTGCAAAAGACCTCTTTAAAATGTTGAAAAGCAGATAAGTCACTTTGAGGACTAAGGTGTGCCTCACTAAAGCCATGATATTTTCAGTCACCTCATATGCATGCAAAAGCTGGACAATGAATAAGGAAGACGAATTGATGGATTTGGATTATGGTGTTGATGTAGAATATTGACTACACCATAGACTGCCAGAAGAACATGCAGTTCTGTCCTGGAAGAAGTACAGTCAGAATGCTCCTTAGAAGTGAGGCTGGTGAGACTTTGTCTCACATACTTTGGACATGTTATCAGGAAGGACCAGTCCCTAGAGAAGGACATTATGCTTGGCAAAGTAGAGGGTCAGCAAAAAAGAGGAAGACCTTCAACAAGACAGACTGACAGAGTAGCTCCAACAACTGGCTCAAACATAGCACAGATGGTGAGGTGGTGCAGGACCCGGCAGTGTTTCAGTCCATTGTATATGGGGTCACTGAGTCAGAACCAACTCCACAGCACCAAACAACTACTGCCACCCCTGTTACCCCAGGAGAAGCAAACTGAACCCAGGGCATGAATTTCAGGTGTGAATGCCATGTTAACACTTCCTGGCCTAGGCACCAAAGCTCAGGCCCTGTGAGTCCATGCAGGTGAGCTGGCCAGGCTGTGTGACAGGAAATCCCTCCTTTACAGTGGAAGCCCTGGTGACGCTGGTGTCAGACGCCATGACTCACTCCCTCACTTGTGCTCCCCACGTTACGTGTCAGCTTGAAGCTTATCTACAGCATGGCGGGTATGACACGTGCCCTGGTGCCACTGGGGTGTGTATGTGTGTGCAATGAGCAGCTTCTATTCTCCATCCCAGTTTCCATCACCAGCTGTGAGAGATCATTCTGCAATTTAAAACTAATTGCCATAGGCGCTATTTCTGTAGATAGTCGTCTGATGCCAGCGTTTCCAGCCCGGAAGCCAGAATACGATCAAGCAGGATTCTGATGTGTTCAGGAACATAAAGAGACAGAGATCTTATAAATAACTCCTGGTTAAAACGGAGCTGAAAATAAGAAGGAAGCAAATTGCTGAGTACTTATTGAGTCGATAACATGGGCTTAGAAACCTTAGTGCAAATGGCTGGTCTGGTTTATTTCCTTCTCATCAAAAGATCAAACGCAGGATTAGACCTGGAGGCACCAAGGCTGACTGTGTCCCAGGAAGTATCTGCAAGGGCGGATGGTGGCTTAGACGATCCTAACACAGCCCTGCATTATCTACCACAATGTGACTTAATAAGCTCAGCCTGTTGGTGTGACGTAGCATATAAGTCCCTGAACCTCTCTGAGGCACTCTTTGCAGGAAGGTGTGGCTGTCGGGTTGGCCGTGTAGCTCTGAGATTCTAGACAGCAATATGTGCCTGAGGCCTCGGTGTAAAAGTCAGGAACCCGAAAGTCTGAATTCAACCCTGACTGTGCTCCAAAGTGCTGTCTCTTTTCCACTCCCCGTAGGGCCTTCCTTCAGCTGTGACAAAGCCACTATACTTGTGCTCTCTCAATGGTTAAAACTGAGTGGAAATGTGCTTTATTCACTTGCAGCCCCCAAGGGGCTCCTGATCTTGGGGTGTGGGCGAGCGGCACGCTCCCCTACTGGTGGAGGCCCAGGGCTGCCTCGGCCCCACCTCCCACCCTTGCCTCCCTGGGACCCAAGCTGAACTGAGGGCGGGGCTCCCTCATCGCCAGGCTCCGCCCACTGCCTGGCCTGCAGCTCCCAGTCCCACCAGTAGGCAAAAGAGGAGAGAAGGTTCCGGCGTCCGGGAGTGTGGGCTGGACATCCTGGCGCCGCCATCAGCAGCAGCTGCAGGTGCCCGTGTGGACACGGAGGATGCCTCGGCTGTGCAGGTGCAGGAAGTTGAAGATCTCGGAGGGCATGGCGTGGAAGCCAGGCCGGGGCTTGACGTTGTCGTAGTAATGGTGGGTGATGTAGAGGCCCGAGGGGTTCATGGGAAAGGCCCAGAAGCCGAAGAGGTGCACCTCCTCACAGAGCTCCAGCGCCGCCGTGGCCAGGATGAGACCGGTGCTGATGCGCTTGGCGCGCACGCCCAGGCTGAGCCAGTAGCGCGACACGTTGACCAGGTACTGAGGGTGGAAGTAGTAGACGGCCTGCGGCGACTCGAAGTCGTCCAGCACGTACTTGACGCGGATGGACACGTCGGTGTTGCGCGTGTTGTAGAAGGCAGGCAGCAGCACGGACGCGTTCTGGTAGACCTGCAGCACGCGGTAGAAGGGCCGCCGCCATTTCTCCAGCTTGTGGAACCTGGAGAGGCCGACAGCGTGAGGAGCCTGTGCCCAACCCTCCATGCCCCAGAGCCCCTGGCTTCCCCCACCCGGGCACCTTAGGGTCTTTTCAAAGGACACAAGGGCTTATGACCTCTGCCTTGTCTCACTTCATTCACTTCACTATGTAAACACCCAACCTTCTCTTGGGGAGAGCTGTATTTTGTAAGTAGGTGCTGGGAGAGCACAGTGAGAACCCAGATAGCCAGTGTATGGCTGCAGGGGCCACTCAGTGGGGACGTGGTTGGGGGGGCACTCACACCACTCACCTGCACTGTCTTCCCCAAGATTCCCAGGAACACCCACCAAAAGCAGCTGTGCCTCTTGCCTCTGCCCCTCCCTCCCCCAGCCTCCGGATGTATCTATCTCACACACCTTTCTTTACAGTCAGCAGCCCTTCCAGCTCATCTTACAGCTCTCTCAAGGTCCCTTCATGTGACCTTGCTTCTTCCTCTTAAACAGGCGTTCCCTGAGCATCTGATCCAGTTTAACAACTCTGTCCCCTTCTCTTACGCTGCTTCACTGCTTCAACTGACCGGGGACGGTGGATTGGCCAGGGCTGGAGTTGCAACATTAGTCCCCTCCCCTGAAGGGTCTAGGAAGGGGGTGGGGCAGGATCTTTGCTCAAGGCTTCTGCTCAGTACCACCAGGTCACACCCTGCATAGGGTCTGCCATGGCCCTGGTCACGCCCTGGAAAACTGACCGAACTCTGTTGTTGTTATGTGCCATGAGTCAAACCCAACTCATAGCGACCCCTCCTTGGGTTTCCAAGGCAGTATCACTACGGATAGTAGGATTGCCCAACCTTCCTTCCGAGGAGTGGCTGGTGAGTTTGAACCGCCAGCCGCCTGGTTAGCAGGCAAGTGTCTTAGCCACTATGCTACCAGAGACCCAACTCTAGCTGAGGACAATCTAGACTAGCACTGTCCAAAAGAAATGTACTGCAGGCTACGTGTGTTGTTTTCAATGTTCTACTAACAAGTTTTTCTATTTAAATAATATTCAGTAAATACGTTTTGGCCATTTAAACCCACCTGGAGGTGCCTCAGAAAACAGGCCTGGCAATCTGCTGCTGAGAGGGGACAGCCATGAAACCCTAGTCCTACTCTGCACACATGTGGTTGCCAGGAGTCAGAGCTGTCTCCGTGGCAACCAACAATATAGAAAATAAATCTTTAAATAATGTGCAATATTTCTATTTAAGTAAATAGAAACAAGTGAAATTAATTTTATAATATATTTTATTTAACCTGAGTTACCTGAAATACTATTTTCAACAATGTAATTGGTATAAAAGATTAATGAAATACATTGCATTCCTTTTTCACGAGGTCTCTGAAATTTGGTGTGAATTTTACAGGTACCACATCTTGGTCTGTACCAGCCACATTTCAAGCAGTCAGTAGCCACACGTGACCAAGGGCTACCATATTGGAAGGTGCAGCCTTGGAAAGAGGGCCACTGACCTCTCTGTGATGATGCTGGGGTTCACAGTGACCACGTCCGTCTTTACACCCACATCCATGGTGTACTTCTCTGAGATGGGGGGCAGATTGCACCTGAAGAAGAAACAAGGCAGCCAACGGCAGGTGGTCAGTCAGTCTGCAGGTGGCACTGGGGAGTGGGCGAAGGGAAGGGGAAAGAGGGATGGTGATCACATGGCAGAGGGCTGCAAAAGGCGGCCAGCTGGGTAGAATGTCTGTAGCCAGGTCCTTCTGCTCCGTGCCAGACACAGGGAGGGCAAACGGTCCTGGTCTCAGTGAAGTTCCAGTCACATGGGGCAGAGAGACCATTATCTGCAATATGCCGCTACAAGCTACCTTACAGGATTTCAATGACAGGCTCTTGCTCTGAAACAACAGGGGGCCTCCCCTTGTCTGGGTGTCAGGAGGTTTCCCTGAGGAAGTGATGTTGGAGCTGAGGTCTGAAGGAGGCAGCGAGCAAAAGTCCATTGGCACTACATACGACTGCTTCCTGCACCTTGAGGCCAAAACTAGATGCCCAGCTACCACTCCTGAACATTCTTATCCAGAACACAATAAATCCTGATAAAAAGGGAGAAAAATGTGGAACAGAACTTCCAATCTTTAAAGAATCCAGACTTACTGGACCCACTGAGGCTGAAGGAGTCCCCGAGACTATGGCCCTGAGTTGCTCTTCAAATCTTGAATTGAAACTATCCCCTGAAGTCACCTTCAAACTCAGTAACAGTTTAGCCCAAATGTCACCCTTGAGTATTTGTGTTTAGAATATATATATATATAAGACCAAAAGGTCAAGAGCTATTTTAAAGTATAAATGAGAAGGTTGGGGGACACTGAGATTAAGTAAATGGAAGTGAAACAACTAGAACAGAAATAATGAGAGTGTTGGCACAATGAGAAGAATGTAACCAACCTCACTGATCATTATGTCTGGAAACTGGGATGGGAGTGCCATTTGCTGTATTTTGACACACAAAAAGTCCATTGGCAGGAGAAGGGCTAAGTAAATATGGGATCAACTCAAAGATGAAGCTTAGAAATATAATATTGAGTGAAAAAAGCAAGTTGCAGAAGTATACATACAGAACACCATTTTTTAAAGCCCCTGGTGGCGTAGTGCCTAAAGCATTTGACTGCTAACCAGAAAGTTGGTGGTTCAAACCCACCAGCCACTCCCTGGGAGGAAGACTGGTCAATTAATTTCTGTAAAGATTTACCACCTCAGAAACCCAAAGGGGGTCGCTATGAATTGGAATCGACTCAATGGCAGTGAGTTTGGTTTGAGGTTTTTTTTTTTTTGTGATAGAATAAAGGAGTTCTTGTGGTACAGTGAGTGGTTAAAGCATTCAGCTGCTAACCAAAAGGTTGGCAGTTCAAACCCACCAGCTGCTCCAAGGGAAAAAGATGTGGCAGTCTGCTTCTGTAAAGATTTACAGCCTTAGAAAGCCTATGGGGCAGTTCGACTCTGTCCTACAGGGCAGCTATGAGTAGGAATTGACTTAATGGCAGTGGCTTTGGTTTTGGTTGGTGACCAAATAATGGTCCCCCAAAGATCCCCACCCTGTAATCCCTAGAACCTCTGAATATGTTACTTTACAGGGCAAATGGGATTTTGCCGCTGTGATTAAGGATCTTGAGATGGGGGACACACTGAAATCACAAGGGTCCTTAGATGGCAGTGTGGCAGTGGAAGGAGAAAGAGGAAAAGATGTGACAACAGAAGCAGAGGCAGAGAGAGGAACCAGAAGATGCTATGCTACTGGCTTTGAAGGTGCCACAAGCCGGTCACTGCTTGGTCACAGCCAGCTACCCAGAGGGACCGAGTAGTTGAACCTGCGGGCTTGGGACCATAGTCGCA